ACTGCTACTGCTACAGCAAGGTTGTGAACCCTGGAACTGCGTATGGCAGATAAACCAGAAAGTCATTATGAACGGAATCTCTTACTGCATATGATGGTCATTGACTTTTTCATGAGTCAATTGTAGTTTTGGAGAGCTGTCCAAGTTGACGGGTACTAAGGTGTGCTACGGGGCCTGAAATATACGATAAGATATCGAGCCGATATACCGTGAACTAGAAGAGTGAAAGCAACACAATCGGTTGTGATTCGATGTGCATTTATGACAAACACGGAGTTACAATCGATTGTCTGTTTCCAGATCATAGTTGACAATGGACTTCTAAGTCAACGTCTGAGCGGGTCTCTAACGAGCGTTCATCCATCCTCGCCGTAAGAAAAGATGACGTAATCGAAGATGAGGAAGAGAAGGGCCGAGTAAACAGCAAACAGTATGTGAAGATCTAGTGAAACTTAACATCAGCCGAACGAAGATGACGTAATACAAAAATTCACTCGACTTGTTCCACGTCAGCACACGTTGATGCCTTCCATTGAATTTCAGAAAAATGCACGATCTCATATCTTAACTTACCAGATTTTGGCTACATTACAGTACTCGGTTTCCTCAAATTTCACCAACGAGATTATATTTGCTGACTTCGCTCTAGTGACCTCCACGTCACGTTGAATGTATCTGCACCGGATAGCCTTAACAATGGTTTACGATTGTTTCCTCATACTATAGTGATTTACGATATGAGCCAGGTCAAGGTGTGGACAAATTATTTAAACATTTGAAGTTTCCAAGACATATCGTCAGAAAACATCTATTTCGACATTTCTTAGCGGAGCAAACTTCACCAGGATGGACAAAAACTAACAACATTAACCAAAGCGCACTTTGCAGAAATTCCTCCATTCCAAATGGACTTCACTTGCAAGAATTGTTTCTTCTGCTTATCTCCACATGAGGCATACAGCAACAAGCAGACTTGCAGCAGATAAGTTGCAGGAGTGCTTAAACCACAAGAATATGAGCGGCTTGGTGCGATTTGCTTTCAAGCTTGATGCGCTGAATCAAAAATGCTTCTTGCTTTCTTCTGAAATATCGCTGATCAAACATCATAGTAAACACTCTCAAGATTGTGACGGTCTAAGATAACTTTTATTCGTATGAGTGAAAATTAAGAAACATTTGATCAAATAAACCTCAGATTTTCAATAAGATCTTTGAGGTTTATCCTTTAAGGGTATGACTCTTATGAAGACTGAAAAAATTGATAACTACGGTGTTAAATAAAATAGACTTGATGACAATCTATTACGAAAAAGTCAAGTCAATAGCAAGTTGAAGACTTGGACTTTGGATAAGATCTTGTTTAAAAAACACATGATTTATGGTAATCATGTTCTTTAACAAGAAAAACTGACAAAATTCATAACGTGGAAATTTTGAGATTGATATATTACTAATATATTGTTTGATTTCCATTTTGTTAGCGCAACGTTTGTTAAAGAATTTTTGATTTAAAGAAAATTGATGAATCTTAAGTTGGAAAAAAAACCATAATTGAATTGATTTTTTGTGATAATTTGATGATTATTTTTTGGCTCTTTAAGAAAAAAAAATATAAAATATTTTTGTATATTTTAAAATTGTTATTTGCTCTGAAATTATCATGTTCAAGAGTGATATTTGATTTGATAAAAAAACAATCATTCACGATAAAATTTTAATAATTTCTTTTGCTGATGTTTTATATTGCAAGAGTCCGTTATTATTATGTGACAAATAAATGGTCATATTCATGAAAAAAATCTGAATATAAATTTAGAAAAAAATTAAACTGAAATTACAAGACCCGCGAAAAAAAGATACTCGTATCAATAAAATATCGTAATTAACGAATGAATTTTTTTAAATACTTTTGTCCGAAAAAAATTAAAATTAAAATATCAAAGATCTCAAATCAAAGCTTAAATTTTAGATTGTAATTTTGATTTTATACAAAATTTAAAATAAAAAATTAAATTTTTTTTTAGGATTGGAATTCAAAACATAAAAATGAAAATAAAAGTACCTCTTCTATATTTAATTTAATTTAATTTTGAAAGTAGTGATGATTGTGTATAATTTTGAAAAACATGATTTTATTAGTGATATTTCGAGTTTTATTTTGCTCTTGAGATTTAAAACTAATGTATTATAGAAAAAATTAGAAATATATAATAAATTTAATTTTACATATAACATGTAAGATACCAATAATTGGAAAATATATAAACTATATCATTAATTATTTAGATATTACATAAAATAAATGTATTATTCTGAAATTTTTCCAAAACTTAAATCATTTGAAAGCTTGATTCAAAGTTATAAGATTTTAAAAATTTTTGACGGGTTGTGCAGATTTGTTATAAAGGCGTTTAAATTTTAAAATATAAAAATTTTTCAGCAATAATTGAACTTTTTTGAAATCACAATTTAAATGAATGCCAATATCGAAATTGTATGTCAATTGAATCAAATATTCAAATATTGTCTTCCACTTTTTTTTAATAGAATCAAATATAGTTCAATCCATGATTTGTCAAAACATCACATGATCATTTCACATGGACATTGCAATCAAATACATATTTTTTCATAATTATTTTTTTCATATTTCCAGATCTCAAAAGTACTCAAATTCTTCAAATGATTCTCTTAAGAATTTTATGTGTTCAAAATTTGTGATATATGAGAAAAAAATAATCACTGCTTTCCAATTTAGTCTGGCCAAATTTTTAAAAATTTAAGATAATTTGCATCTTATTAGAAATAAAAATACTGAAAAATATAGCAATATCATAACCAACATAGAAACAAATGTAAGGATTTAGAAACAAAATATTATTTCAAGAAAAAATCTAAATTTTTTTGAACACTTATATTTATGATTTTTCAGTATTTTCAGTATAAAATAGTATTTTTATATTGAAAAATATTCATGATTTTTCATCTTTTTATTCATGATTTTTCAGTATTTTTAGATAAAAATACTGAAAATCAATGAATATAAGTGTTAAAAAAATTTAGATTTTTTCTTGAAATAATATTTTGTTTCTAAATCCTTAGATTTGTTTCTATGTTGGTTATGATATTGCTATAGTTCATAAGTATCAACACTATATAATGTAAACTAGCTATTAATTTAAGTCGTGTGAAGTTTTATTAGGTCTGATTGATATATTCTATCCACTTGCCCCACTACCCCTATGGACTTGAGGGCATATAACAGTGAGGGTACAAAAGGTGTTGACTGAAAGAGATGTCAAATTATTGATGAAGATTAAATCGGTGACATTTTGCATGTACCCCGATGTAATCGTTCAATAAAGATCACTATTGACTGCCCACAAAAAACATGTTTTTCTAAAGGGAGGAGGACTTTGCTCCAGGACAAAGTGGCACAGTGGACGATCTGAACGTGAGAAGCTCACACGACCAAAGTCTCAGCAGCTCCATACGTGCCGGCCTCTGATACGTGCAGGGATCCGCATACAGTGAACAGCATCATTGCCCTGTCAAGGTTCGCCCGCAGTCTTACCGAAAGTACGTAGCGAAAGTCAACTACGTTCAGCGTCGTACATCGTAGTGTGAGTAGCGGCGAGTAGGGCCACAGCCTGTGACCCGCGCCGCCTTTAGACCCGGGAACAGCACAATCTCGTCCGGCTTCAGAGCCTGGCCGCGAGCTGATCGTGCGGAGTGTGGTCGTGCATAGTACTTTCCGATGATCTGCAGTGCGCTACGAAGTAGATCAGGTCTAGAATCCGAGCACCGAGTTTCCGAGTCCGGTTGACTGTGGTAGAGTACAGACAGGCGACAGGAAGACTTTGACGAAGGTACGGTTTCTCGCACAAAGCTACTCCGCCCCGGAAACGGTGCCGGAGTGGATTTATCCACGCACGCAGGACCACTGGGCCGCCCGGCCATAGACTGCGTGTCGAAGCTCCTCCGCGGTCATACAACGGAATTGCACGGCTTCCGGCCTGCTGCCTGACAACTCGCGGCAGTCCACCGGAACTGCTTTTGGCGTGACAAGCAATTTTCTACTCGCCCTCGCAGAATGCGGTGGAACTGTCGCAGAGTTGGCGCTGGGCTGTGCGAAGGCGCCAGCAGTGGTGTGGTTGCAGGACGCCACGTCACCGTTTCGTTCCTGTGACTCCGTCCACAGTAGCGAGCCACGTAGGCCTGGGAATGTTGCATCATCGTACCGCATCATACCAAATCGGGCGACGGAATTCGCCTCCGGGCAGAGCTGCCCCGTTCCGGAACTTGCCTCCTCTGGCCGCTCTCCCATATCAAATAAGCAAAATAATACATTCGGATGGTGGGTCCTCGGGAATCCTTTCTTTCCTCCACCTGCGCAATCGGGGAACAGAAAAGATGGCAATTCGACCATTTAATAAGCCACCGTGCACCGGCGATGTTGCCAGGGCCGGCTCACGTCACTCGGTACACATCATCATAGCTCAGGAACGGGGCACGAAGATGCCACTGAGCCATCCTACTTGGAGTCAGGCAATTCGCAGCCGAGTTCCAGCGCGGCGAGAAAATGCCACGTGGTTAATACGTGGAGTGATCCAGGAGATCAAGATAAGGCCCGAGTCCTGTTCTACATGACGCAGAAACCGGGCCGTCAGGAACTCGGGGGTATTACCGGGTGCAAACAGCCCCGAAAAGCGTCCTCGTCGCCGAGTGAATAATATCGAGGGCGAATTTTATTTCTCGGGTCGATGGAGCAACGGGAGCTCCAGCGAAATTTTCCTTGTGCGCACACGGACCCAGGAGGGCGGGCCGGGCGATGGGATTTGATTTTTACGAGCCAGTAAGTTAGTGTTGATCCAGTCATTCTAGCCCTCTACCTCTAGTAGTGCTGCTTCGCCTGCCATAACACGCGCTTTGACTCGGGCTGCACGAAGGGTGGGGGGAAGGCTGTCATATTCAGCGCTTCTATATAATCGTCCCTTTCAGTTGTTGTCAATCATTCACATTTCTCTTATTGTGTCGTTCTCTTCTCAAGCCTAGAACAGTTCGCGACCCACTGACTGACTCACTGACTGACTGATTAGCAGATTGTAAGTCTCAGCGAACACTCGAAATTCATACTTGATCACAACCGACTGCGAGACCATGGTGCTTCTCATGCGCCTGCAGAGTATTCAAGTCCCGTCCTTCTTTTTGTGTCCGATCTCGTTAGATCTCATGAAAGATCCAGTGACTCTTTGCACTGGAATGACTTACGACCGATCGAGCATCGAAAAATGGCTCGATGAAGGTAACCTAACGTGCCCGGCCACCAATCAGCTGTTGGGTTCCACCGTCGTCACTCCCAACCACACCCTGAGGCGTCTGATTCAGGACTGGTGCGTCCTGAATCAGTCGAATGGAGTCGAGAGAATCCCCACACCGAAGTTGCCTGCCAGGCTTGAGGACGTGAAGGCGATGGTGGAGGATTTGAAGTACGGGATCAATGTCCACGAGACGGTTAAAAGGCTTCGTGGTCTTGCCAGGGAAAGCGACAAGAACAAAAGGCTAGTGGTCGAATCCGGAGCCGTGCAGGAGCTCGTCTCGCTCATCGTCTTGCCAGCAAATGACTGCCAATCGCCAAAACGCGAATGGGTGGAGTTCAAAGAGGACATTTTAGCGACCATCGTCCTGATTTCGAGCGCTGACGTAACCCGCGCTTCTTACAACGCCAGCTCGAAGCAGATGGCATGCTTATGCTGGTTTCTAAAGAATGGACAGATTGAAGCGAAGGTGAATGCGGCCGTGGTTTTGGAGAGCATAGCTAGCAGCAGCGATTTGAAGGGCTCCATTGCTGATCTGGAAGGAGTAATAGAAACAATGGTTCAGCTTCTGAGGGAAAAGTTCTACCCGAAGGCTGTGAAGGCGAGTTTGAGATGTCTGCTCACCCTGTGCGCCACCAGGAGGAACCGAATCAGGTTGGTAGAAGCAGGTGGTGTAGCTGCCCTGGTGGAATTTCTTCCTGGAGCTGAGACCCGCGGCACTTTGGAACGGGCCCTGAGGATCCTCGAGCTTCTGGCATCCTGTGCCGAGGGTCGTGAAGCGATAAGTGATCATGCGCTGGCAATCCCCGTGCTGCTGAAGCTGGTTCTCAGAGCATCCGGGGCTTCAATCGAGCACGCAGTGGTGGTGTTGTACATGTTGTCGGAGTACTCAGTGAATGCTTCGGATGTGAGGAAATCAATTGTGCAGGTCGGCGGGTTTCCTCGTCTTCTACTTCTTTTACAAACCGAATGTACTCTGAGGACGAAGGGGAAGGCGATAAAATTGTTGAAGCAGCTCCGTCCCATCTGGAATGAATGTCCTTGCAGTTCTGGCGGACGGGCTCTTTCAACTGTAGGATCAATCTAATCTACCAAATACGAAAATTTTGGTCCCAAATGTTTGAGGAAAAAGATATTTCTCCGTGTCTCTCTGGAAGCATCGGGTCTGCAGACCGCTGCAACGGGCGATCCACAATAGCACCTTCAGAATACTGAATCTACTGGCTGGCGTGTGCCATATGACCAGCCAAAATGAAAACGACATGGCTACTGTCAGGCACATACTTCAACGTAGGCAGAACCTTAAAATTGGCAGTCCAGTCTGATCAGAGGCCGAACTGAACCAGTGCCCTTTGAACTGTATTATATGGATTAGATTCATTCTTTTGGGAGAAGTGACAGAGATTTCTTCTCCCTCAATTGTTCATAGATTAGACAAAATGCTTAACCTTATCTGTGACTGCTTGTATTTGAGGAGTCCAATATATGGAATGAACTTTCACGGTGGCGAGCACCGCAGTTCTTCATTGATCCATTTCCTATCGCTGAAAATCCATAGAGATTTTAGTTCCCAAACGAACCTTCGACGACCCAGGTCGCTTGTTGTGATAAGCGACCTAGTTCATTAAGCTTATACTCCATAAATTAGAGGAACGCTGCAACTCCGTTCTATAACTTTTGTTCATGCTTTCTCTGGAGCGAAGTTTGTTGTAATCAGGTTCGTGAAACTCACAATCCTGAACAACGCTGTCGTTATACGGAGCTAGCATGGTACTATTTTTGAGGAATTAAAAATATGAGGAATACATACTCGAGACTTGCCAACTTGAAGAAAATATCAGGGGGATTGTCCACTGTGTAAATTTACTACAATCCTTGATTTGCTAGACGGCACGCCACTAACTAGAAGCTTAGCCTGCGGATACCAAGTCCATCAATTTCAGCCTTTTAAAGATTCAAGAGAATGTTCCCTGAGCAAGAAATTTTCCTTGTATTTTTCTTTGCGTTAAATATATAGATGAGTTTGGTCTTGCTCCAATTCTAACACTAAATTGACTATTATTGCGTGTAAATTGAGGCGCTATACGTAAGACTTTGTATAAATAGGTGCGCTGTAGCTAAGCTAAATTCAGGACATAGATGGAGACAGAAGAGGCGTACTTCAATTTAATTTCGGCAGCACGCTTGCGTACTCGTTAAACGGGACCTTTACACAATTACAGACTTGCATGATCTGACGTCTAAGTAGTACAGATCCTGCAGATTGATTAGGAACGAACAATATCCTGCCAAGCATTATTGGAACAGTTGAATAATTGCATAATCCGTGCAATCCATGCACAGATTCATCTATTTAAGGTGAATCTAGAAATGCAAGCTGATGACTTGCCAGAGGAGCATTGAAAAAACTGGCAAAGTTATAACTTTATCGGATGAATAAGTTGGTCGGTGGGTTGTGTTCTTGGATAATTCATGTGGATTTGGTCAGGGACGAAGTGTACCAAAGAGTACTAGGATCAAATCTGGAGCATGAAGAAATACTACTTATAGTCAGAGCGGATGTCGACTTGAATTGCCTTTTAGAGATTATTTAGGGCTCTATGGATATGGATGCCACAACGGCAGTCCGCATGACTTTACATGTAGCATTATGAGACTTCTCAGAGTTTTCCTTCTGTCGTCACTATCCACTGAATTTGGTAAGAAATTTCAAGTTGGCAGCGTCAGCCAAATGTTCACGCCAGTACTGAGACCTTCCTTACTCGTAGTTCCGAGAATGAAACAGTCACGAACAGATTGCTTCACACTTTGTACGATGTGAAGGTCTTATCCTGTAGAGCTTCTACAGGATTGAAGCCGTGAACACCTTCAAGACTTGAAAGTCTGCACTGTTCTCCACCTTTCAATTTTCACGTAGCGAGCTGCACGCAATCTTCATCACTTAAGGTTGACGGGTCAAAGGCAAATAAGACATGACTTTAATGATTTTACTGTGAATTGGGATCAGCTGCAGCTCGACCATAATTGCTTTCAAAACTCTCTCGTTTGCCGACATACTCTTCCACCGTGGTGGTAGTCGAAATATCGGAATAGATTAGTGGGGTCTTCGTTATATTGCCTGTTCAAATCGTGGTATTGGACAATGATTTTTTTAATGTCCCATGATTTTTTTAATGTCCCAACGTAGGATTACTATCACACTGAAGGTGTCTGAACTGGAGAAACTAGATATATACTGTCATCAGCCAGATTTCCGGTAAAGCTAACCCAGGAATGTACATGATAGACTAAGCTCTACACTACATTATGTTGAATATGTCAGTCAGGTTTCACGACATTTGGTAGGCAAGCATTAGATCGGCAGCAGCCCCGAGCATATATAAAATTCTTCGCATATTGAAATAAATGCCAACTCCATAAAAATCATTCGGTCTTTATGTTTAGACTAGCTTTTATTCAGGGAATGTGACCGTCACATAATAGCGCACCACATTCATCGGTGGTAAAACATTCGATGACCTTTGTTTATACCGAGCGATACAATAAACAATTCCCTGGGAAAATCGAGGAGGAATTTGGCTCAAGTATCATAATCATAGGACAACATGTTTTACCCGAATCACATCATACTTATCTGCATTTGTTATACCCTTATTCAGCCACGAAAGCAGCTGTAGTACAAAAAGATAAGAATTTGATGAAGAGGTAGACGAAGCGACTCAATATTATTACTCTCTGTATCAAATAATAAAGATGAAGAGTACAATTGCAATTTCTTTGGTGTTAACTCATGAATTTCATGTCCATCTGACGTCGAGCCTTGACTACTGCATGAATGTGCGAGAAATTGGCATCCAGAAAGAAAAATTTGCAGTTCAGCAATGTTCTTGCAAAACAGTGCTTGTTGTCGGTGAAAGCCTTATACGGGAGACAGATTGCAGTTGGAATGACATCGATGCATGTCATGCTCAGCCGACAGTTGATTACATCCTGCACCGAACTCAGTCAAAGATCAAACATTGAATTCTTCTCGCTGCCCACCAAGAAACAAATCGCCCATCTAGATCGTTCTGACGATGTTTAGCGTCATCACTGTTGTGTAGTCGTCAATGCATTTGTTGCCAAGTAGCCTGCGAATATGTACCTTCACTCCATGAAAAAGTCGACTCAGGCAAAGCGGAATCTGTTGCTGCAATCGAGCTCTCCATATTTAGACTTCCACATTAAGCACCTGCTTCAGGCTAGAGAACATGGCATCGTATAGATTATCCGGGCTATGGGAGAGACCAGCTGCAGTGCAAATGTAGCCACCTAGGCCAGAAAGTAAGCGTTTCCTCTTGACAATGTCGTCGGATACGTGGCAGCATATAGACGTATGGTCTAGCGTGAAGATAGTCACATGTGGCGTACGTGCACTTATATTGGTGCCATGTACCCGGCGATTCAATCGATGTTGCAGTAGTCTCGTCTAGGTGTTTGACCTTCTCGTCTGAACGAGAAGGTCCATATTGAGGCAGAAGACCTTGTCAGAGTCTGTGGTTGCAGAGAACTTGGCAAACATCGAGAATTGAAGTAAAACATTACGGACAAAACCTTGATATCCGATCCCCGAAACTGGAGTACAACATTAGCGATTATAGTATCCGAATGACGTATATTTTCCTTCCAAATTATTGTTTCTTACATAGATATAACTTTTGCGGAAAAAAGTTGAAAGATTTGGCTACAACTCGTGCTACGATAAGTTTGGTAACATACCTTTATGAAAATAATAATCTATCTTCAAAGCAAGATAATCAAAGTGCTTGGTTTTAATATCTGAAGAATCACCTCAAGAACATTTGATGTGGCACAAAGAAACTCAAATTATACGGATGTTAATGATTAATATTAAAGTGCAGTTTGAATAAGTCCATGTGTTTACAATAAGGATAGTGTTATTTGTTTTACTGGTTGAACCAGAGAACTGAACTTGCATCTCGAGGTACCAGTTGTCTTCATACCCAATACTCCATATAACAGTTGCAGTAATCTGCCTACTTATAAATCATTTACATCTGGCCTTCAAAAAATATCGTTAAAAAATATTTCTTTATTCTACATATCTTTTACAGTGAACTTAGAAGCAAAAGAAGTAAGTCTCTTATGTCACCACAAAACATCGTGTACAAAACGTTAAATTGATGTATGAAACATGATCATGTTCTAGAATTTTCATTGTTAGATCTTGTTAGGGTTATACGAATCATGATATTTTCTTCAAGAAACTCCTGGACACCCATACACCAACTTTGTTGCCCGTCTCCTCATTGTCAATGACTGTACCAACCTATGACTGCCTGTGAAGGGATCTAAGATCTCAGGGGATCCAAATAGAAGGGCGGCAATAATACCTTTTCATGGCAAAGCTCTTAGTTATATGTAGATATAAGTCAATATTCAATCTACCAAACAGATGGGCCTTAATGTGAAGATCGAAATTGGTATTTCTTTATTGCACTGTGTTTAAAAGAAAGGCCCCTTCAAGAAGTCTGTTGACTGCTTTTTGAGTTCACAAGTAGGTGCAACATCCTTTATCTCCACCCATGCATAAAAGATCATTGTACAGTAGCTAGATAGATATGCAAGTGGCTGCGAATCGTGTCTCCTGAGAGCTGCACGTTCACCTTGAAATGTAGTTCCACCACAAATTTCATACGACTTCCTGATCGGCTGAAGAGATGGCCGAAAGTGAAAAGTGCAGCAGAGCTCAATACCTGAGAGGTATCCTGATGGGCTTTCCCTGGTCTCCAGCAGGACATCATCGAATTCCAAGAGTGGACATGTTAGCCGACATGTAACCCACATTTATAACCCTAAGCGATGTCGTGTGCATCTTCTGGTCGGGCCCGCTGGGTAGTGGATCGTGTAGTCTTCACTGTGTTGTTTTTTCTATTACAGTCTCGGAACTCTCTCTATTTGTTTCCAAATTACGACAGACCTGGATGCAACCCGAACGCTGAGCACGGTCAAGCCATAGCCTTTTAATCCTTTTCGGAAACTGAAGGATTGATCGGCCAGAGGATCTGATTTTAATGAAGCTTCTACCTCAATCTGCCAAGGATAACGAAGAGGGCATCTGAAATCAAGTTCACCATGGCATCTAGATTGTCGTGGATAGAAGGAGTCAAACAGAGCATCAACGTGTTGGACAGGATTTACTCCTGGAGTGTTAAAAATTGTCACATGCAGGTTTGGAACGCCTGGCATTGACACTCGCTGCCATGCATTTAGGGGTCATTTCTGCTCAACCTGCCGACAACTGGAATCTCAGATGGCTGAATCTGAGATACACCTATCACCTTACTATTTACAGTGGCATTCTCAATTATCCAGATAGCATATTCTACCACACCTGGAACCCCTAAGCATGAAAAACACTTTTTCTTTCCGTGTAGTTTTTTACAATCGATTGACTTCTATGACCCTTTTCAGTCGCCACACATGAACATTTAAATGAGGATTCAAACACGGATTTCTGGGATACATTTATATTTACATCAGATCATTAAAAAATGGAAAGGAGAATATGTTTAGACATCTATGAACCTTTTACAGAGTAAAAGGTTCATAGATGTTGAGTAGATTTTAGAAGGAGATGTGGAAAAAACTGTTCTCTGATTAACCTGCTCTATAAAACAGCTAGACTGCAAAATTTACTGATCTTCAATAATTTAAGATTTTTATCAACGTGTGATGAGAAGAACGAGCAATGCTTGAAATGTGGTTCTTGTATGTTCCCATGTTCACAAAAAAATTTTTGCGTGTTCGATTTATTTTTGGTAATATAATCTTGGATATGATCAGAAAGCGGTTGTTTCTGGGATTTCCTTTCGAGTATGTAGACTCCAAAGACACTCATTCAGTGGAATAAAATTCCATGCGTAGTCAGAAGGAAAAGATTAAACTGAACTATGTGCTCCAATTAAGATAAATTTGTAATGATGTCCACATCCATCGCAAGTTTTCCATCAAACTGCTTAATCTTATAAATCCAGCTTGTTGCAAAATCATCATAACATGTTGTGCTCTAACAAGCACATATGTCAGACATATAAATTGTCCTAATATTATGCAAATATGTTTATTTACTACTCCAACCAAGAATATTATATCTTTTCTTACCATCATGTCTTTATTCATGTGTGTCACTTCTACTAGTCAGCGATGAGATTGCTTTTTATTAGTATCTCAATATATTGAATTTGTAAATCTTATAGATTATGAAATAATTTAAACTCAGATAATAAGTCAATTTAAAAGTTTTATTGTTCTAAAAATAAAAACTTGTTGTTCACTTCTGATGATTGAAATAAATTAAATGTTAATAAAAGCTAAAAATTCAATTTTTTTAATTAATAATTATTATAATTTTGATGAGATAATTACTTGATAGGATCATTGAGAAAAATAATTTACTTTATGGTACCCAACAGTTTTCATTTTACCCGATGTGACCGCACTCAACGACCATGCACTTCACCGTTAGACATGATCTAATCAAAGTTCTTATAATTTATGTAGCAGTGTGGATAGTGTTTGACACTATCGGTCCAAAACACTTTCTCCATTGAGATTAATTTGTCCACTAGTTCAACCCGCATCATGATGCTGAAAAACTCTAGATAGCGTCTTGCCATATCTGCATCACAAAAAACACAGAGGAATATATCAAAGTATGTACCGCCGGGTATAAACTCGATGGAAACTTTGTGCTTGACAAAGGGAGCTAAGATCTGAATTGAAGCGAATCATGTATGGAATTTCTACCTCAAGAGATCAATTGATATCTGTTTTCTCTCAAGATCGATCTATCAGGGTTGGTATTCTAAGGTGGTTAGTGTAAATCTCGGACGATGGGTAAGATTCAGAAGTAGCTGTGAAAGCATATGGAGGAAAGCCGGGCTTCAATTGCCTAGAGTATGGGACAGTTGGGTGACCAGAGTGTTCCCGATGCTCGATGATTTTGCCTTCCATTTGCAGGGCCTCTGCGAAAACGTGCATAAATTCCCCCATGTCTTGCCTCTCTGCGCCGTTGGGAAGAATGAACTACAGCGCCAATCTCATCACCAGGAGCACTCCTTCTCGCTTGTAATCACTGCCCAACGACAGATCCACGATGGTCTAGACTTGTAGTATTGGAACATCGGTGATGGTCAAGAGTTTCTTATCATGTAAACCTGTTGGATCCCATCAAGTTTATTGAGTTTACTTGGGGGTACCATAAAATAAAATCTTTTAATTTTGATATTGAAAATTTAGTAATTTAGTAATAATAATTTCTTTAATTATTTCATATCAAACCAATTCACTTTAAAAAAATTTAAAAATGAAATATCAATTTTTACTTATTTATCGTCCCTTTTTTTTTAACATGGATGTTATTTTGTGATACCATCTAAACTGATGTAAAACCAATTTACCTAAAAACTGCTCACAAATAATACCAATAATATCATCTGAAAAATTAAGGCCAAATTGTAATCTCTAAAGTTGTTAAACAATAATTATATTTGAATATAAGGTTTATTCAAGTTTAAATTACTCACTGAATAAACACGTGAAATAGTTTGCAAGTATAACTTGGTTTTTAAATGTTTAGCTTATCTTGTGCTATGTATGAAATACATTTTTTATTAGTTCAATATTCTTTATCTTGGATATTTACTTTCTGAGATAAAGAATATGAGATGATTTATCCACAAAAAAATAACAGAAAGTCTATACATAGAGCAAGCTCAAATCAGATCATTCAGTAACTATAAAGTGTGATTTCAATACATATTTCAATATTATTAGTATGATTACAATAAATTACATATTAAATAATAGTACAAAGTAATAGTTTCAAAGATTTAATCAAAGATAAAATTTTTGAGGCCGTTATTCTGTTTAGACTGCTGCAATCAAAATAATTATCTTTGACAAAAATCGTTGTACAAGAATGTGGACTTCCTTAACCCAAAATCATGTTGTATTTTTCATGTGACAAAAAATTCTTTTTTTCTTTGAAAAAGATATTGAACATACTTCTAATTTTTTATGTTGGTTTGATGTAACAATATATATTTTTTATCAAATGTTAGGAAAAATGTTAACATTGCAAATAAAAATGTAATTTTTCGTTTCATTATCCAAAAGTTAATGAATTTTCATTAAAAAAAATTTACGATATTAAATTCAAAAACAAAGATATGCAAAACTACTTTTTTTTTATTCCGTAGAAGTTTCTGACATTTTTTTTCATAAGAGTAGTACAAGGTTGCAGTATACATGCAGTATTCACAT